CCTGCTGCTCTTTCCCCTTGCTTTCCCCCATTTCTTCACCTGGCCCATTCCCTCATCCTAACTGAAACCAGCTCTTTCCCCTTTTCACTGTTTCCCTCCTCTTGGCTTGTGATGCCTCCAGGGAGGCCAAATAATCCCAAGTCCTGGCCCTGGTTTCTTCTTTACTGGCAATTCCATGGGAGGTTGCCTGGAGAGTCCTGCATCTGCCTTAGCTCTTCCACCTCTGCTTTTCCTGCTGGGAATATCCAAGGGTTGGTCAGGGGATTTTAGGGGAGAACAGAAGTGTCCAAGGCCACCCTTGGATGTGGCCAGTGTCTGATCCCAGAAGGCACTTTCCACTCCACCACCCATGTGAGCTGGCAGAGCAGGTAGGTGACCTGCACAGCTGCTGTAGCAGCATCTTGGGTGCTTTGTGGACTTTCTGACCTTCCTGAATACTGAGGTGTTGTCTGGGGTTCCAAACTGCAGGCAGGGGCTGCCTCAGTCCTCTGTGGGGGGACTGGTGAGTGCTGGATTAGTGCTGTGGAGAGGTGTGGATGGGTCCTGTACCTCCTGAGCCTCCTGACAAGGCTTTGAGGCCACAAAAAACGTGTCTATCTCCTTCCTCCCCCGTCCCAGCCTGCTGCATCCATCCCTCCTGCCCCAGGCCAGGAATATTGTCACAGGTTGGTATTTAGTCTGCACGTTGTGGTGTTGATGATTGTAATATCTGTTAGGAGATGGTGAAGTTGTCTTCTATTTTTTTAATGGAAAAATAAACTGTCCCCTGTGTGTGGTGTCCCCCAAATGGCTTATTGGGGGGCCAGCTGGCTGCAGCAGCTATGGGGACAGAGGTGACAACACTCTACTCCTGAGCATCATTTTTGGGGTCTCATCTGAGCCTGTGACACTCCAGAGAAGCCCTTGGGGACAGCACAGTGGGGCTCAGCCTGGGGAGCCCTGAAGAAGGGTGAAAGTGAAATCCTCCAGCCATGTAGGTACCTCTGGGGAAGGGAATGTTATCTCTTGGGGGTGGGTAGGACCAGACATCCCTGGGCTGTGCTGAAATGGATTTCATCTGTGAACCAAGAGCTGGACCCTGTCTGTGCCCTTCCCTCAGGGCTGGGCATGGCCAGAGGACCTGGTGGCATTGTCCTGGGCTCCATCCCAGCACTGTCAGCAACTGGAAGATGCTATCAACTGTTTCTTTGTCCTTTTATTCTCCACCCCCATCTTCCCTGCACGTATTTTCCTCTGGCCTTTCTTCTCCATCAGCAGCCTGCACAGACAGTGACTGTTGCTAAGGAGCTCTCACCAAATTTTAATACTTCTCTCTAATCAATCAGGCAGAGCTGGTTCCTGGGCAGCAGGGCTGACTCCCAGGGTTGGCTCCCAGCTCACTCCATCCCACCTGGATTCTGCAAATCATCAGCATCTCATCTGTCCTACAGCAATCAGCACCTGAGCACGGAGATGGGAGGATGCCAAAACCATAGCAGTGTGTGTATTTTTAGGAGTGCTGCTGAGGGGAGAGCTCTGCACCTTGGGTTTGGCTGCTGTGCTTGGGACTCCAAGAATAGCCTCAGTGATTCCAGGGCCCTCCAAACTTCTGCTTCCCATGGGGCCACCCCAAAGGAAGCTCAGGTGTTTCCCAGGAGGGATGTGCCAAGGCCCTGGGGAAAAGAAATCTTTGAGGCTGAAATGATGTTAAGCTCCCAAGGGATTTGGGGTCCCTGGAGCCAGCCCTGGACACCAGCACCCAGTTTTCCCTGTCTCTGCTCTCTCTGAACTTAAAGTGGGGTTGTGTTCAATTGATCTCATGGGCAGGGATACAGGGATCCCTGAGGCTTTGGTCTGTAGGGTGGGTTAATGTTTAGCTACTAGCACAGAGCTTTGGGACAAACCCTTCTGGGATCTCTCCCAGGGGATTTCTTGTTCCAGGTGAGGCAAGGTGGGATACTCTATCCCTTACCCCTTCCTGGCTGATGGGTTTTGGTTTCCAGGATACACTGCCTGCTTCCCAAGGGCTTCTGGGGTCTGCTGGTTGTGATGCAGTTTTTAGCCTGAGCTGAGTGCTGGGCTATATGCACAACTCTGTGGCTGGACCTCATCCCACCCAGAACCCGTGGGAGTGGAGATCCTTAATTAACAACTACGCTCATTCCACGAACCGGCACACAGCACAGGTTACCTTGGCATGGCACAGGGTCCCACCACACTGTGCCTTATCCTGCTGCTCCATCCTCTCCAGCTCCCAGCACTGACTCTCATCATGCCCTTCCCGCTGCCCTGGCATCGCTGCCACCCAGTGCTGGACAAATCCCTGCGACCTTGAGCGGGAGGGAGCTGCTGTGTCCCATGGGTACCGCATCCCCTCCTGCTCCCTGTCCTCCCGAGGACTCTGCTGATGCCACCTTTGTCCCCAACCCCTTCCCCTCTCTCTCGGGGGTTCGCTGCCCTCGGGGCTGGTTGTGCCGTGGAGGAACGAGCTCCCTGAGCTCCGTGCCCCGCACCGCGGTACGGGCGAGCTGCGGCGAGGAGCGCTCGGTCCCGAAGAGGTTAATCCGTGTCCCGGTGGACTCAAAGCCCGGAGCTTCATGGGATGCCTTATAAAGCTCGTTCCG